GAATGCCGGTCTCCTAATGATTCTCCCACCTGGTATATCGAAAAGGCGAAGAAGAACGGGCGATGAAAGCATTGACATAAATTGTGGCAACCAAAAATTCCGAGGATAATTGCATCTGTACATGTCTCTTTACCTTTGTCCTTGAGAGATTAATCAGTTATATCTTCTCTATGGCATCATCGTGTACTTCTCCGTCCTTTTTCTATGGCATTGTCATATACATCTTCATCATCCTGCATAAGATTATATGCTTCACCTTTCAGATCACTGGTGAGACAGTACAAAGCCTTAGTGGAAGAGCTCTGCAGAATTTTTTACCCTTAAGGATACCCTTTCCCTTCTCAGGTTTGTCTGGATCTTTGCTGGTAACTTCACTCACCTACTCCAAAGCTTACGAAAAATCATGTCAATGCATGTTAGAAGCAATCATACGCAGGATCTGATGGAGCACAGCACTTGCCGTATAAATACCTCCTCGAGTGGCCCCTTGCTGGCTGTATACTTTGATGGAAGAGGCGGTATTTTGAAAAGGTGATCGTCATAACTTTCACATAGAGTGGTACTGGTTTCCCGCAATATGGTCTGGCCTGGTTTTAGAGAGCATGCTTCTCCAGAAATCCCTGGATCTTCACCTTCCCACATGATATCTTGAGAAGGAATCTGCAATCAGCTCAAGATCAGGGTTTTGGCTTCTAAATATGGTGAAAGACAAGAACTTTGGGGAGATATAAAAAGTCAGTATTACTTGTCTGAGATCAAACCAGCTGCTTGGATCTTCCATTGTGTTCGAGTTAGATTGTAGGAGATGCTGTTCCTGGAAATGAGAAAGCAAAAGATGTTACCCGATCTGTTGAACCGAAGAACACAAGAAACCAGACGGCTGATGGATATACCTTATCTGCATCATAATCGGAGACAGTGAACTGAATATAGTCATCATCTTCAGGCATTCTTACATAAACAACCCGCCCGATGAGAGACTCGGGAGAAATTCTGCTCCATCGTTCAGAAGACGCTGGCCTGATCCCTGGAGCCGAAGGCATAGCATTTTCTTCATGTTTGTCTCTAGAGGTCATCATCTCTTCTTGCTAAGTTAAACAGAAGGGACAAGAATGAATTATAACCCCACAGATGAATCCAAGTTTTATATGTCGACCTCTCTGCTAGGATTTATGAACATAAAAAAGGCTCAGACAATACTCATTTGGGTACCTGTGGTTTTTCCTCTTCCTCTTCCACCTCCGACGAATCTATCCTGAGAAAGAAACCAAGTTCCAAAAGGATTCATCTCGAAGAAATTTGAGATGAGAGACCAGAGCATTACCTTAATTGTTGGAGCATTTGATCGTTTCCTATAACCTTCTCGTAATGCTTATGTAGTTGGAAAGTAACATTCAATTCCCTCATGAGATCTTTCAGTGTCGTCATCCTCTTCTGGTTTACAGATTAAAGCTCAAGCCGAATCGATGGAGAAAACAGAGAGAGAGATCTAAAACAGTACTGGGCGATGGATGAGGGTGTTACACTGGATACTTGTTCGCTTTCTGCTGCAAAGGCACGAAGAACAACAAAGTAAGCCTGCCTCTGCATTTCTCTGATTGTGGCTGTTCTGTTCCTCAGAATCTCCATTCTTTCCTTCCTCCGCTTCTTATAACCCGAACGATCGAGCTCAGAATCTGGTTTTCCTTCTGCTGCTTCTCTCTTCTTCTTGGACTTCGACTCTTCAGGAACAGATTCAAGAACAAAGGAGAAAGCGAAAAGCAGTAAAGCACCCGATCATTTTCGCATTTCTCATCGATTGACGAACCCTATTTATATTCTCGACGCAGAAACTGAAAACCCTAAATGGGGATTCGAATTCCGAGATTGAGAAGTTGGATTCGGGTGTGAGCGTACCGTTGGTAGGATCTGGGCAGGGATCTTGCCGTTCTTCCATGGCTGAAAAACATAAACAGGACGAATCAGAGAATGATTTCTTTCTCGCTAAAGTTTATTGTTCTAAGAATTACGACTTCCGATAGAAGTTAGGGTTTTCTTTTGGGGACAGTCTTATCTTACTTATATATATACAATCAAGAAAGTGAGAGGTCAGATATGAATTTTATTACTATAAATTATTATTATTATTATATTTTAGAAAAGATATGACGTGTCAATCTTCTATAATATAATTGTTATTATTTAATATACTTTATGTAATCCGAAAGTCAACCAATCGGATACTGGCACGTGTAAATTTAAACAGAATATATCATAATGAAATCATGTCAAGATAACCAGCAGACGAATAACACAGACCATTAATCTGAATTCACAACTTACATTATTTATTTATTTATATCAAATCAACCGTCCAGGACTTGCTTTTATTATCCCCCACATGTTTCATCTTCTTTCAACAAGCCCCCTAACTTTCCAAATTAATATTATGAGCCCCTTTTAATCGCAAAATCAAAGCTCTCACAAACTTCTGGCCATCATTTCTTGAAATCTCCTGTCGGACTCGACCTTCTCCAACAGGAACTTCTCGTGACAGCTAGCGATGAACTTGTCCGCTAAACGATCGATATCTTTCTCAACATTCTCTTCTCCGCCATCGATGTAATTATCTTCAATAACCTTCTCTTCCAGCCATTCGAGATACCCAGAAAGCTTAGACTCACGATCTCCATCATCATTCAAGAATTCTGCTGAATTGGATAGAGAATCTTGATCAGGAGCAGGGACATAGTAGTGGGATGAACCCCAGTTGTAATGTAATCTAGAGGAGCCGAATAGCATATTTCTGTGTTTGTTGGAGGCATTTCTGGGGAAAAACATCATCGTGTCTTTGTTGTTGTGATTCGAAACTCTGAGAAGAATGGATCTGGCTTTGTTCAGAGATCGAGCGATGAATGGGTAAACATGGCGAGTGATGATGTTGTGGATTAGGGTTTTGATTGAAGACGATGAAGATTTTATCCACATGATGATGACTACTCAATATCACTCACCTTTTTTTTTTTCCTTTGAAGTTTCTCTTTATGTTTGTCTGTGCATGGAACTTGTTTCAACAGTTCACAAACTTATAAAGACTTTCTCTGACATTTTTACCCTTCTAACTTCAACTTATTTGCTATATCGACACACTGTCCCCTTCATTCCATTCCACGTCATGATGGCTCAGGCGCAAAATAGCGATTGCCTCCCTCGTCTACGGTTGTTACCGTACACCATTTCTCGGTGACCCCTTGTTTCTATTCTTCTTTTGTTAACTCTTGTTTCTATTTTCGGATTTCCTTTATCTTATTTTTTTTCTTTTAAAAGAAATGGTCAGACTTTGTTTTTTTTTTCCACGAGATATTGCAGAAAATTGCTTATTCGATAAATAAAAAAACGACATATTGTGTTGTATGTATACAAATTGTTGTTTTCATTACTAAGTTGACGTCTTAGAGGCTAAGGGCTCTACATATAGCCATCGGTCAAGTTGCATAATTTGGGAGTTTACCAAAATCCAAGGTCAATGCATGCATGCATATATCTACGTACGTTACATTAAAAATGCATATAGCATACTCAAATTTGTGTGTTCGCCGGCGGTCTAATGCTACAGCAACTTTATATTAATAGCTGGTAGAAGGGAAGTCGCTCTCACGTGAGTTTACATGAAATATCCAATTTGGAAAATCTCAGTTCAATTCAATGTGAAAATAATTAATTATATGATTTTGGATATGGCTACGCACGCAGTTTCCTTCCATGCCGACAGGGAAGACTAGGGAAATTTTCCTCCAATTGATCTTGATATAAATAGTACACGAGTTTGTTATATAATTATAATCGAGATTTAAATTTCACATGCATTACAATGATTAAACCATTCAACTATAAATTTGTAATAATGTTTTATCGATAAATTCGTTATGAAAACCGTTGCTTAAAAATGTTTTCGTTAGAACACTACTTCAACAAAACCCAACAATTGGTGGCCCAGTGGTTGAGAGGTGACAAAGTCATCATCAAGGTCCTGGGTTCGATTCCACTGGTGGGGAGGGATATAATTTATGGACTAAAATGGTTTATATACAAAGGTTGGTCTCGGGACTAGGGTGGATGTAGTCGGACCGAAAGCCCGAAGAACTATCCTGGTTATCAAAAAAAAAAAAGCTACTTCAACAAAAACCGATATACATTTGTTTCCTATATTATAAATGAGAATAACAAATATGATCTCTCTCTCATTTTTTTTTTACTTTTAATTTTTTTTTTTTGGAGGAAACCACAGTTGGGCCAAACTTTGATGGGCTTTTCCATAATAATATACCCAAACCTGTAAAAACATGAAGTGTAAGCCCAAATAACTTTATGGGCTTCGGACAAATTCGAAATTTCTATTCGTCTGATGGCATGTCTTATTCTGTTCGGGAAGAGAGGCAAATACGAAAGTGAAAAGCACGCGCCGTGTTCGCGAGTGGGAAAGAAGAGTATCCGAAACCATCCGTATCCTTCTTCAACGGGCTAAGATCCGTCCGCCAATGGTATACGATGGTGACCTGAGGAATGCGTCATACAGAAGTCTTGCATTGTCTCACAAAGAAAGAAAAGCCCTTTTGAAGGAAACGTCTTTCAACACACACCTTCCCGACACATCACTGCTCCTTCTTTCTCCCTGCTTCCTCCCATCCGTTTAAATCTCTGGGAGAGGAAATCGTTTCTGGGTTCGATTCATCTGTCTTTCCCCGTTTGAACACTTTCTCGGAATCTTTGCGTGTTTCTCTGATCTGGGTTCTCATCTGCTTTCAACTCTGCTAACTTTAGCTCTATGGTTGGAGACACTGGTGAATCTGGCTGAGCGGAACGAGAAGAACCAAAAAAACGGAGACCCTTTTGGATTTTGATGGGCTTCTGATTAGTTTTGTCTGATTCTGAGAAATGGGTTCATCCGCCGGAGATGCCGATGATGAGTTCTAGTGAACTGGTGAGTTTCGTCTATTTCCTTATCGTGTTGTAGCGAATTCGTGCTTATGCTTATTGTACAGATTGTATTACCGCGAAGCTCGACGCTGTTTGTTCGGCTGTTATTGAAAAGTTCGAGGAGATTGGAAGGAAATCCTGCTTCTCTGATGTTTGGTTGTTCATGCAATTCGATTTCTCGGGAAATAATCGGACTCTTGTTGATTTGGAGTACTGGAATCTCATTCGGGGATCCGTGGCTCTACTTTGTTGAAATGGTTGAACTTAGAAAGAAGATTAAAAGTAAAAGCAAAGCAGAAACTGTTTTTTACGAGTATGAATGGACAGATACGGAGGGTAATCAACTGGATCCGAAATGTTTTCTTCTGTTTTTGGCTGTTTGGTAAGCGAACCTTTTGGAAAGAATTGTCGTTGTTAGCTGTAAACTGGATAGTTCAAATGTTCAATGCTTCAACTACTCGTCATGTATAGGGGCCCCTCTGATGATAATGAAAGATCTGTATTTGCCTCAAATGGAATCTGGTTTTCGTGTTCATGCTTCCTCCTCCTCGAGTATGGTATTTGCATATAGAATATGACAGAATGTCAATTGCTTTGAAGATGTCCATTCTCTTAACCCCCCCCCCCCCCCCACAAGTTTCATCTGAATAGCAACATCATTCTCCATGTTTTTCATGTTTTTTGCGATTGCTTCGCCTCATCAAACCGATATTGATGTTTCTTGTTGTCCGAGTTCATCTCCGTACAGTCTGCAATGCAGCTTTGTTCTTGTCTGAATGTTAATCTTAATCTGGTGGACCATGGTTCTTATATGTGGATATTTCAGGCTTCTTCTTGTATAGCTGTTTGAGGCATTCGATTGTGAGATTTACCGAGTATGAGACGAGGTAGAGGAAAAGGCAAGAAGCTGAACACTGCTGCTGCTGCTGCAAGGGAAGAAGGCGGAAGTGGCGAGGAAGAAAAGATTCCTGCCCACAGGAGAAGAGGAAGGCCACAGAAGCCTGTCAAAGATGACACCGGGTTAGAAGAACCAGCGGAGAAGATAGAGGAAGGCAGCGACATAATAAAGAGTTCAATAACCGGTAAAGATTTGAATAACGAAGCTGTCACAGAGAACGGGAGGAAGAGAAAGAGATCTATGCAGACCAAAGAACACAATGCAGAAGTTACCAAAGAAGAAGAGAACGGTGTAGAATCCAAATCAAGAGCGGACGGATCGGTAAAATCATCAATAGGATACAGACAGAACGGTAGCCGGAGGAAAAACAAGCCAAGACGGGCGGCTGAGGCCGTTATCGAGTGTTACGGGTTTTGAGAAACTTGCAAACATGGTGGTGACCGATCCCCCTTCGAATTTTTTGGTCACTCCATCCAGGTGAGGAAGCATTTTGACAGAATTTTGTTTTTCAGACATCCCTTTTTTTCCCCCAAATGTTACTTTTGAACAAATGGATTATGTTTTCTTGATTAAGAGGTGTTTTCTTTTTATGTTTCTGGTAACTTTTTCCATGAAACTTGCATACAAACAAAACATGCTTACAAATCATTCAGATCGAAGTCCATATATATACGTATGTATGTATATATATATATATATATATATGTACGGTTTCATAGATGTATATAAACATATACTTAAAGACAGAGAGAAAAACATGAAGCAATTCTCATGATTCAGACAAAGTTTCTGAAGTTGAGACAATGCCATCTTTTATCTTTGTGTTGTTGTGATTGCAAACAAACACCAACTGAGAGTGAGAGATAGAGTCCTCCAAAATGGGATTTAGAAAAATTAATGCTAATTTCCCAAACCAATTTTATCAATATTCTCTTGATTTTTTTTTAAAATAAAGAAACAGATAATTTTGTTTGAAGGTCGTGTCGCAGGTTGTTTACATGGAAAACATTAGAAAAAAAATACTTGGAAATATAAATAAAATACTTGCAACACATCACAAATAATATACAAATTATGCGCACGTGTATGTGTGTATATATACACATTGATTAGGTTACAATTTCTATAAAATAACTAATAAATTTGATTTAAGAGTACTCTGAATACACGATTTTTTTAAAACTTAATTATTTCATGAAAATTTTAAAAGGAATATTATTTATTATAATATTCGAAACTAAAAAGTAATATAAAGATAAAATAAAAAGAGAAATAATAATTAACAAATAACGGAATGCAAAATTTTTACTTGTTATTTCTTTTCGTTTTTCAAAGTATAAGTAATCTACTTTTAGTTAATGTGTATTTTCATTTGTAGCCAAGGCAAAGGAATATCAGTTTCACTAAATAAAGCAAAGGGAAAAGAACAAAATCAAACTGACACAATGAAATAATTATAACACAGAATCAGATGTACCATCATTAAACTTCCTATATTATCATTTTCTATTTTTAAATATCGAGAAAGATATCGCCTTGGATATTGGGAGAAGAACAACTCTAAATATATATATATTTTTAAAAATATTTCTAAAATTGCATATTCAATGTCATTCGAATTGCTTGCACATTTGCCGACACCAACCAACCAGTTGCCTTGAAATCTCTCCCATCCGTAGTTTCAGTTCAGTTCCAACTTACCTCTCAAATCTTTTCTAACTTAATTATTAATCATTTATTATTATTATAACTGCTACAGTTATTATTATATTTACGGACCAAACTAAACCCTCAATTCCTAGACACGTGAATTCGTTTGGGTCTTCGATCGATGCTACAAAACCATTAAAAAAAAGTTTTTTTTATATATATAAAAAAGGGGATTATTTTGGGGGATTCTACATTGTTTTTGTAGATGAATAAAAGGGATGGGCATGTGACATGAACAGTGCAAAAGTATGGTACCACGAAGAACGGCTCGTTCGAGAGTTCCTCCAAGTAAAGAAACCAGAAACCAGAAACCAAGCGAAAGGCTAACCACTGTTCGAAAATCTCTCTCTCTCTGCCGTGTCCAGTTTCTTGTTGGGTTGTGGTTACAGAACAACAGTCTTTGTCCGTACCATTATACTTACCCTCGCTGTCATGGCCCAGTTCCACTTTCATGTCTCTCTCTCTCTCCCTGACATGAATGATCTTTTAACTTTTTAAACCCAACAGCTAAAAATCACCCAACCCCACATTTTCTCCTCCTTCTTCTGCGTCCTTTCTTTCCCAAGACCGGCTAAGAGGAGAGAGAGAGAATGATTCAAGAATGATACTCTACAATCCGGTGTCTGAGTGAAGGGGAACACAATGGAGACGGGTTCGGGTCCGGGCACCGAGTCGGGCGGTTCCCCCACCGAGTCTTCTCTCAGCAGCGGCCTCAAGTTCGGTCAAAAGATCTATTTCGAGGCCTCCCGTGTTTCGGGACCGGGCTCGTCATCCGGGACCGGAAGAAGGACCAGGGGAGGCGGGTCGGGTCAAACGGGTCAGCCACCGAGGTGCCAAGTGGAGGGTTGCAGCGTCGATCTAAGCGATGTGAAGGCTTACTACTCACGCCACAAGGTCTGTGCCATTCACTCCAAATCCCCCATAGTCACTGTCGCTGGTCTCCGACAGAGGTTCTGTCAACAATGTAGCAGGTAAATAAATAGCTTACAAATAAAAAAACCATTGTTTCAGTTTCTCGTTTTTTTACGGATTTGCCACTGTCGGAGTTCGGAAAGGAGACTGCTTGGTTCCGTTCGGTCCGGTCCAGTTTTCGAGCCATTGTGCTTTCTGGTAAGGTGGGTCATGGTGTTTCATTCCTCTGAAGCCAACCCTTCTGGTGTTGTATGAAAAAACCATTACTTTATCTACGCTGTGCCTTTGTTTAAGCTTTAAAGCTAGTTCTGGTATGGTCATAGTTGCAGCTTGTGCGCTGTAATACATAACTTGTCCCACTTCAGGAAACGATCTTGAGATGAGATAAGATTAGTGTCTGCTTCGATATGGGTTGGATTCTAGCTTTAGGAAGAGGCTTTATCCTGTAAAGTTTCATGCTTTTCTCTGGTTACAATCTTGAGATGATGAGCCTGTGTTGCCCATAATGTGTTTATGATGTTGCTTTTCCTATAAGTAACCCACATCTTGCCGGCTTGAGCAGGTTTCATCAGCTCGTGGAGTTTGACCAAGAGAAACGGAGTTGCAGGCGGCGTCTCGCCGGACATAATGAGCGACGGAGAAAGCCGCAACCACCGTCTCTATTGACTTCTCGCTATGGAAGGATCTCGCCTTCTCGTTTAGGTAAGATATCTGTTTCTGATATATAGCTTTGCTTCTCTCGAGATGTCTGATCGTTCACTGCAATAGGAAATGCCACTGCTGCAATGAGCGGAAGCTTTTTCCCGGATTCCATGGCGTGGCCACCCGGCAGAGTATCGGAAACTGGTGTGATGAGACGGCCTCTCTCATCTCCTCCATGGCAGATGATAAACCATGAAACTCACCCACGGAGTATTTTCCCGAGCGGAGGGACAAGCTTTTCAAGTCCAGAGGCCATGAACCCTAGAGCAGAAAGCTACAAAGGAGTTGCCGACTCGAGCTGTGCTCTCTCTCTTCTGTCAAACGAACAACAACAACCACCATCGCAGCCATCACCATCACTGCCCACATGGCAACCATCCACTGGTTTCAATTTGATGGCTGGCATGGCTCGGTCAGGGCCTGCATCCAGCCATCATCATCAGTATCCAAATCAGCCATGGGAGATCAAGGGTGGTGAGAACATCAGCAGCATGCCTCCTGTTTTGGGTTTGGGTCAAATCTCGGAGGCAACTAGCTCTCAGATCGGTGGTAACGCAGCCATGGGTGGGTTTGAGTTGTTTCAAACTCAGCAAACCCGGGCCTATGACTCTTCTTCTTCTTCTCAGAATATCAACTGGCCTCTCTGAATCCTTTCCCCTTCAAGGGTTTATTTTCATGGATTAACGCGTGAATCTCCCACCAAACTATCTATCTGTGGGGCGGATGTTTTAGTAGAATTCTGACAACTTGGAAGTCCTTTTTATCCTTTTTGGTCTTTCTGTGCTCTGCTATAAACCAGACACTGGTTTTGCCAGGAGAAAACTACTTTTGGCTTCTGCCCATTGTTGTTCTTCGTGATCTCTTGCCTTCTGTTGCCGTATAATATTAACACACGTCGTAGGAGACCGGATTGAACATCATCAACAACAGGTTTTCGGTAATCGGACCAGGTTCTTCTACATGTCAGATCGAAAGAATCATCGTCTTCCTCGTTTTTTTCTTCTCCGTGATCTGCCTTAGCCAGTTAGCCTTTCTAAAGATAATCACGATTCCCCGAATGCGCCATTGGGATTCCCGTCTGGACCCAGATTCAGCCATCGCTCCATCCTCCTTCCTCTTTTTTCATTATCTGCCTCAATCTTCTTCCTTTTCCTCCTCTCCTTTTGAGGGTCGTCCCTACCAATTCCAATAGCCAATCAACCCTATACGTGTAACCCATCTGCTTCAACAGCTTAAGCCCTATTTTGAAGGAACTAAAACAAGTCTCCCGTGGAATCATCTTCACCAGGAGCTTCCCTTCCATCGCCAATTTGTTTCCTCGTCGATTCCGCCATGCCGGCAAAGCTCGAGGTCGAGATCGAGATCGAGATCGAGGTCTCGAGATAGAGAGAACAATTATTGGGCTTGGACTTATTTAAATTGGGCCCAAATGGGCCTAGGTGGGCTTCTTCTTTTCCAATTTGGCCTTTTGCTCAGACGCTGGTGTAGTAGTTGCCGACGAAAATCGACAAAGTTTCTCATTGAGCTCGTCGTCTCTCCCTCCATCTCTTCCGCTGTTTCGAGTTCCAAGGTAAAATATTATGGATCTTCATCCTCTTCCATTTACCGTCTTGTTTCTGTTTTGTATTCTGTTCATGTTGGATTAAAGTTCTCGTTGCTCAACGTCCCTCTGGGTTTACCGAGCTACCAAACCTAGGGTTCTGCTCTGTCATTAATCGAATTTTGGCTTTTTGTTTGTTTGTAATGATCCATTTCTCCACTCGGTTATTGGGTTTCTTTCCTAGGCCGATGAATGGTGTCCTTGCTGATCATGGATTCTAGTGATCTGATATTGGGTTCTCAAATTACCATCCGAATAAGCGATTAAAGGACTTAAATTGTGTAGGGTTTCCTTTTTCAGTTGTTATTCTCTGATGGGATGCCTCCAAATTTACGCCTTTCGATGGATTTGGCGTTCAATTTTCTCAATTTTGTCTGATTGGGTTCTCTGGGCATTATTTATTAGGTTACATCACCTTTGTTAAAAAAGAAAAAGCTGATAATAATTCTTATATACGTAGCTAGAAGACATCATGGATCCCGCAGAAATGAGATACTTGGAAGAGGAGGATAGCCCAATGGTGAAGACCTTTAAGGGTGCCATTACGGGTCTGGCCGCTGGGACTCTTTACGGAACTGTGGTGGCAACTTGGAAAGACGTTCCTCGTGTTGAGAGGAACGTAGCTCTTCCAGGGCTCATCAGGACGCTGAAGATGATGGGAAATCACGGGTTGACATTTGCTGCAATCGGGGGCGTTTACATTGGTGTTGAACAGCTGGTGCAGCACTTTCGGATGAAGCGGGATTTTGTCAATGGTGCTGTCGGTGGTTTCGTGGCTGGCGCTTCAGTTCTTGGCTTTAGAGGTAAGTTAACTTTTTTTCCCCTTTTGATTGATCCACACATTGTTTGCTAAGGCTGTGTTAAGTCAGAACCTTTGGGACTTGGCATGATGATTCAGTCTGTGATTTCTTTTACTTCTGTATTCAGTTTAGTGCTGTGCATGGATTAGTATTCATGACCATTGTTTGTGGTTGATATGATTTTGGAGAGGTCTTGAGTTGCTTCGGTTAGTAAATGTTTCTCGGTTATTTAGAAGCTCGGTAGACATTAATGGGGTTGAAAACAATGTCAGCAGAAAGGAACTAGGAGAAATTCTGCTATCTAATTCTAATCACCTGAAAGCACCTCGGTAATGCCCAAATACGAGTCCCTTGAGCAGTACTGGTGAAGAATTTCCTGAAGATTTTGCTCAGTCACCGGCCTATTGATGGTCGATTCTTGTTTTTGAAGCATATGTGATGAACCCCAAAATTCTTGATAGAGTCGTTGCTCTTCTGCAATAACTACGATATCGTAACCTGGGTCAGAACTCGTGGTTTTCTTTACAGCGAGGAGCATCCCGACAGCAATCTCGGCTGGAGCAGCGCTTGCGGTCACCTCTGCTTTGATCGATTCGGGAGGCCAGACCACCAGAGTAGACAACGGCAGAGAATACTATCCGTACACCGTCGAGAAAAGAGCTGGAGCCGATTCTTGATTTTAACCTCGGAGGAGACAAGAAAGCTCTTCCGGGGAAGAATTCGGCTTCTGAAGCGGTAGAAGTTCACTCTTGAGATCTCTTTTCAATGTTTTTTTTTTTTCTGTTTCAGGAGATGTGAAATCATCAGACTCTTCACTCTTGGTTTCTTCCTGTTGCTGAAGTTCAATCCTTTGTCGGATAATCCTACAATAAAAAATCTCTTGACGTAGTTTGTGAAAAAATATGATAAAATGTGTGAGATTTTGGGACATTTGCCTCTCCATTGCTCTCAACTCCTCTCGAATGAAATATGGAATATTATTGGGCTCGGCCTTACATAAATTGGGCCCAGATGGGCCAATGTAGGGCTTTTTATTCTCCAATTTGGCCTTTTGCTCAGACGCTGGTGTAGTAGCCAGTAGGTCGAACATTGACAACTCATTGAGCTCGTATCTCTCTCTCTCTCTCTCTCTCTCTCCAACTGTCGACTTCCGATGTTTCGAGTTCCAAGGTAAAACATTCTGGATCCTCATCCTCTTCCATTTACCGTCTTGTTTCTGTTAATGTCGGATTAAAGCTGTCGTTGTCAACGTCCTTCTGGGTTTACCGAGCTACCAAACCTAGGGTTCTGTTTTGTCATTCACCGAATCTCCGCTCTTTTGTTTGTTTGCAATGATCCATCTCTCAATTCGGTTATTGGGTTTCTTTCCTAGGATGATGAATGGTGTCCTTGTTGACCAGCCGAACAAGCGATTAAAGAACTTGAACTGTATAGGGTTTCCTTTTTTGAGTGGGTTTTCTCTAGTGGGATGCCTTTCGATGGATTTGGCGTTTTCACAGTTTTATTTTCGGATTGGGTGCCCTAGTGATTGTTCTCTCGGCATTATTTATTAGGTTACATCTCCTTTGATTGAAAAAAGTGCTGATAATAATTCTTATATACGTAGCTAGAAGACATCATGGATCCCTCAGAAATGAGATACTTGTAAGAGGAGGATAGCCTGATGGCGAAGACCTTCGAGGGTGCAATTGGGGGTCTGGTCGTTGGGGCTCTTTGCGGAACTGCGCGGGCGGCTTGGGCTTGGAAAGGCGTTCCTCGTGCTCAGAGGAACGTAACTCTTCCAGTGCTCATCGGGACGCTGAAGGTGATACGAAATCACGGGTTGGTAGGTGCTGCAGTCGGGGGCATTTACTCTGGCTCTGAACAGCTGGCGCAGCGCTTTCGGATGAAGCGGGATTTTGTCAATGGTGCTGTTGGTGGTTTCGTGGCTGGCGCTTCAGTTGTTGGCTTTGGAGGCAAGTTAACTTCTGTTTTTTCCTTTGATTGATTCTCACATTGTTTGCATGGGCTGTATTAAGCTGGAAACTTTGGGCCTTGGCTTGATGATTCCATTCCCTCTGTGATGTACCTTTACTCCTATGCTCAGTTTTGCTCTGTCACCTGCCATTTGATCGTCGAGTCTTGTTCTTGAAGCATATATGATTAACCCCCAAGATTCTTGATAGACATGGGAACTGAAAAGTATGTACTGATGATAGGTCATTGCTCTTCTGCAATAACTGTGACATCGTAACCTGGGTCGGAGCTTTGTGGTTTTCTTTACAGCGAGGAGCATCCCGGCAGCAATCAAGGCTGGAGCAACTTGTGCGGCCCTCTCTACTCTGGGCGATTTGGGAGCTGAAGCCGTCGAGAAAAGAGCTGGAGCCGATTCTTGATTTTAACCTGGGAGGAGACAAGAAAGCTCTTCCGGGGAAGAATTCGGCTTCTGAAGCGGTAGAAGTTCACTCTTGAGATCTCTTTTCAATGTTTTTTTTTTTTCTGTTTCAGGAGATGTGAAATCATCAGACTCTTCACTCTTGGTTTCTTCCTGTTGCTGAAGTTCAATCCTTTGTCGGATAATCCTACAATAAAAAATCTCTTGACGTAGTTTGTGAAAAAATATGATAAAATGTGTGAGATTTTGGGACATTTGCCTCTCCATTGCTCTCAACTCCTCTCGAATGAAATATGGAATATTATTGGGCTCGGCCTTACATAAATTGGGCCCAGATGGGCCAATGTAGGGCTTTTTATTCTCCAATTTGGCCTTTTCCGAGGGAGAATTCGGCTTCTGAAGCGGTAAAAGTTCACTCTTTTCGATGTTTTTTTCTTCGTTTCAGGAGCTGTGTCCTTGTTTCCTCCTGTTGCTGAAGTTCAATCCTCTGTCGGATAATCCTACAATAAAAAAATGTTTGAGATTTTGGGACATTTGCTTCTCCGATGTATCCTTTTCCGTGGAATGAAACAAGGAAATGCGATCAGGGTTTTGTTTTCAAAATAAATTATTAATAAAGGTGATAAAAAAAATAGCCTGAAAATAATTTTTTGATATTGTAAACAAAAACAGATTACCTTATTTAGATTAGTTGACATGCATAAGCAAATAAACGAAATAAAGAAGGAAAAAAAAGGTGAATATAGATAAGAGATATATATAAAAAAAAAAGTGAATATAGATACGAGATATATATAAAAAAAAAAGGCGAATATAGATAAGAGATGTATAAGATACACGTGAATATAAAACAAAACTCTTGTAGTGTAATGATAAAAAAGGAAGTTACGTGTAACCCAAGTTACCGGGGGTGCGAGTTCATATCCAAAGTGCCCTTGACTAAATTCGATTCCTAATCCATAAAGGACCATGAAATCTCTATAACACTGTTTCTTGCGGGAAAAGTTACCAAGCACTATAAATTAACAACCCTAGTAAGGCAGTCTGTCACACTCCAAAGCAAAGACACAATCTCTCTCTCTCTCTCTCGTTGAAATTAAGGAGATTCATCAGAAGATGGAGAAGACGAACTGGGTTTACGCACAAGCATGGGGCGAAGACGGGAAACCGAAGGGAGAAAGAGGATCCGGAGAGGAAGTGAGGGTTTATGACGAGGAAGACAGGTACAGAAGGTCTCGGAGGATGGTGTTGCAGAGCTACGAGCTTCACTTCCCCGATGACGGTCTCTCCTTCAAGATCAAGAGATTCTTTTCCAATATCACCCGTCGCTCCAAAGTTGCTCCTTTCCCCTGATCCATTGTTTTTTTTTTTTAATATATGTTTTAGTGAACTCCTTTGTAATTATCTCAATAAATAGAATATTCTTTTTATTTTTTTTTTCGTGGATATATATACACACACACACACATCAATCCTTTACCTGCTATCAAATTTGCAGCAATGATTCAAAGTGTAAAGATCCGATTGAGAATTTCTGACAATTGATTTCTTCGTTATTTAGTTAATTTACACATGTAAATATCAAATACTCAACCAGGAAATCTACCTGCGTAAAACGTGTATAACAAAATCCACGTAGAAAAAAAAAAGGAAATTTTGAGAGAGTATATCACTGAAAAAGCATCTCTGAGATGCCCATTAAAAAAAAATATAAGAATCATAATCTATAATTTATACGAGCTGGAATGAAACGACGCCGTCTGAAAAGGGCGTCACACACACCACATTGATGGCCAATCAAGACCTTTAGTGGGCCCAACCCACAATAGGCCCATTATGAAACAGACGCGAAACCCATATAGGCCCAAAACACGACGACAACACTCCCAAAAGTACCAAAAAATTTTTTAAAAAAATAAAGAATTAGGTGCACATATATACATAACTATTTCATTCAAGATATGATATCAATGTGTACAACGCATGTTCTTCTGCTCGGGAGAATAGGGGATCGATACCCAGAAGACGAGACATTGTATTAGGGTTTCAAGAAAACAAAAAATGGGATTGAAAAGTGGGATACTAAGATCAGAAAGCAGAAACCGATAAACCCTAAAACCCTTTATAAAGAAGAAGGGCATGCCTATATATGATGCGTTCTAACCCCTCACCGAGGGCGATTATTCGCCGAGAGGGAAAGGGACTCGAGAGGGCTCTAAAGGGTCGGGACGGGGACAAGAACCTCCACCGTCGTATCATCAGTCACCTTGCAAGCACTAGAGCTGCCGGATGTTTCCCGTCGCTGTCAAATTCATTCTCATTGTTAAACCAATACGTCAGATATGAAAGACACCATATTCCCGAGGAAACCCGGTTCTTAATTAATCAATCATGGAAAGTCGCAGCGTGACAATAGAAAAGGGTCAATTTTCAGTGTTATTACCGTAGAGCCAGTCTTTGAAGTATGCATGGATTGCACTTGAAAGTTCTCGTTTCCGGTTTTCTTTGAGAGGCGCTTCTCTTAGCGATTGCCTCGTTTCTTCCAAGTTCTTGAGCTGAAATACAAAATTTGAATCAGGATCGGGTGTGGAAATACTCGACATGAAAACGAGCCAGATTACTAAGGCCTTGTGCTGAAACAAAATCATACGTTTCTCTGTTGTGCTGCCATATAAGCATCTGGCAATGGAAATGGGTTATCTTTCGTTGAACCAACCGAGTCACCCCCGGACCAATTTGGGATCTGCACAGAGAAAAGCCGAGGCAAACAGACAGAAACCATGATCACAGGCTCCATACGCAAATATCATCTGTCATAAGAGTTTATTACCAGACAAAAAAACGCAGAACAGAGCCTACCAGAAAGTTGGCGAAGTGGTCAGGGTCCACACAAGCAGCTGACTCGGCCTGTGCGTCAGAAACACCGGCAGGATGTGACAATGAGTCATGCGGATCAACTGCTCCCAATGCCAATGGCTCACTCCATTTGTTTATACTTGGCTCGATCCCCACCTCATCCATGTGCTCCTCTAAGTGAGAATAAAATGTATTATATGGACCGACCTGGAAATCTATCCAAGTCAATCTGGTATGCTCAAGCAAACGTAAATCAGCTACGTATTTTCGACTCGAACTTATGACCAGATGTGTCTATTATTATGGCATTCAGTGTCCTTCCCGACAAAATAAAGCAATGAGATCAACAACATCACAGGAGGTTTCCACTATGCAAATTAAACAACTAAAATTATGTCTGAATGAAAACATTAGGGTCTTCACATATCACGATGCCCGGAATCATCAATATTTTTACGAGCCTCTAACAGGCGGCTTCATCATGGAAAGTTGCAATAAGAGAAGAGGAGCCTAACCGAAGCTAATAACATGTGTAGCCTCATTACCATAAAGATAACTAAGTAATAGTATGTCTTGTAAAACTTAAAACATACATCAGCAAAGAATGAAAAGAGTTATAAGTGCAGCCAGACAGAAAACTTATAAGCCAACTACCGAATTTAGAGAGATGTTTCACCTGCAGTTTGTGGTTATCACCAACGATAAGAGGCCGCTGATTGACTCCCAAAAAGAAGATACATTCCCGGCAATTGGCAATGCAGACTCGTTTAGCTGCCGCAATTATATGCACTCTCTCACAGTGCTCAACTCTTACTGCCTAAAGAAAAAAAAAACAAACTAAGCTGATTGTAGTTCTGGCATAAGATGGCAGATATTCATCTTCAAACCTCTTTTCAGGAAAAAAAATGTATAATTATAGCATGAAGGAGAGTGCTTGGCATACCTTGCCAACAGCTCCTAGAACTATAGTAGCATCAGAACATCCATAGACGGTTACATATCTCAACGGTGCCAAAAGATAAAATCACAGAATCATGACAATTGACGACCTGCGGAATACACAAAATATACAACTGAGAAACCGCGGCTGAAAAGATAATGAAGTCAGAAAGTCGAAGGACGACAACTATGCATTCTGAAGGTTTGTTGATATGTACCTTCACAGGTTTACCTCTAAGATCTGAGGCCTGTTTAACAAATGAAGACTTAGAAACTCCCTCTACGAAACACGGACCTCTAGCACTAGGCAAAGCCTTATTGGCAGATGCACAAGCATCAGTCATGGCATCATCTTGATCAGATGAATTAGATGGCCCATTCTCTTTCCCAGAAATTCTTTCAGTAATGCTTTCTAAAGCGGAAGCTATATTTTGCAGCAGCCAATCATGCACTTGGGAAGCAGGGACAGGGACAGCAGGCATGTCAGGATCTGAATTCACAAAAAACGGAGTAGCCTGGCCCAAGGGAGCTTCATCAGATCCCTTATCACCAAATTGAACCAGAAAACCTAGATGCTCAAAACCCTCCATAGACAAGACCTGGTGAAGAGATTTAAACAAGTATGAGAAATAAGAGAAGATTAGACCATTGAGATTTGAGAGATAAACATACAGTATGAGAAAAAAAAATCTTATTCCGATGTAGGATTTCATACCGAAACGGAAAGTTCCTTCAAGATTGAAATCGAGAAACGGTAGCACATACCAAAGATTCGTCTCCTTCTCCTTCCACAGGTTCTGCAAGAAGTGAAATAATGTTTGCCAAGTGCTTCTGCAGATTTGTTAACTGATGAGCTTCTTCATCAGCCTGTGATGGCATAAAGCGACGGCTGTTGCTGCGAACAAGCTGCAAAATTGTGAAAAGGAAACATAATTAACACTTGAATGACAGAAAGAATTAGGCACTACACAATAAAGACCTGTACGCTAAAAAAAGAGTGAACATTTGCTAAGGACAAGAGCTGTTACAACACCGAATATCACCTTCTAGTCAGACACAACATACTAACCATACCTTACCACAACCCGAATTCATGATGTCGGAGGACTGATGATTAATACATTACAAGAATCTCATACTTCAGTCCCTACGGTGCAACCCATTAACAATGATCTGAAGTAGCCAACTTGAAGTAGTCATCACTCCGATACTGAATCAGCAAATCTTTATCCATGACATGAAGATCGGGTTCATCGTTTTTCAAAGACGCTAATATGCATAGCAGAGAAATGTCTCAATGAACATCTCCCCCACTTGAGAACCATTATATCAACAAACTACATCACCAATGCAACTAACCGCTAACGTTCGGACATATGAAATGCGACAGAGATACTTTACATGCGTTACATGTTGTAGCAGAATTCAATGCACGAGAGCAAAATGTTTCTCCTCCACCTGGTAATTGAGCTACAACGGCATACACAGAAACATGACCCGAAAATCGAGCCACATTGCAAAATTAAAGACGTTCAAAACGTGAAAAACTTGCCTGAATTGGCGATAACGCAGACAAGTATCCATCGAAAGCGGAAGTGGATGGCCAGACATCGGCAACCGCGGCGGAGTCCTTGCGCGTCCTAGGCAGCAACTTCTTATACGATTGAATGTACAGGAACAAAACTAGATCACGGATATCAGCTCCGACCGAATCAACTTCTTCAGATTTTGCCCGAACAAGAGAGTCGGAGTCGGAATGGAGAACCGACGCGAGGGTCTCGAGGACGAGGCGCGCATGGTCGCCGGAGATCTGGAGGGCGTCGGAAAGAGCAACCGATCCAACGCGATTGTTCGACGCAGCGGCCGCGAGCTTCTGCTTCACCGGAGCTAGGCTTTGGATGGGGTCGGTGAAAATGGGCTTCTGGATCGGGAGGAGACCATGCTCGAACGGCTCCCGCCTTGGGTGGATTACCGAATTCGGGCCCGGTTCAGGAACCGAGGACGGTGGTGATTGGTCGATAAGCTCTTCTGACATGATTCCTTCACGAGAGAGAAGCGAAGAAATTGCAGACCTTTTTGATGGCGAATAATTTCATCGAGAAAGCGGAGAAAGAGGTAAGGTTTCAGTGCGCGCATGCGTACGCTATCAACGTACGCCCCATTTCTCTGAACCGTCGGATGTTTTACTCCAATCACAGTCGTGACACGTCAGAGAAGCAGTTGAGATTTTACTCGTGAGACACTTAGGAATGCACTTTGTATAACGCAGAGGAGGAAAATTTCAAAAAAAAAAAAAACACACCCAATTTTTAAATTTTGATAAAAAAAATATTTAATTTTTTATTTTATCAAATAAATATTAAATATTTTAAATGTGATAAAATAAATACTTAACTCTCTTCTACAACTATCAGAATAAATAAAATAATTAAAATAATAAAGATATAATTAATTTTATTTTTTATAATCATAATCATTATAATTTTACTTTAAATTAGATGATACATACAAATATACCGTCCTAAATTATTTTATACACATCTATTAGCATCACGTGGTCGTTTATTAATTACTAACAAAAGTTATAATACAATCATAGATTAATGAAGAGTGTTATTGAGCATGATTTTATAATAAGCAAAGTTTATATATGGTTTAGCATTTACAACTTATTGATATAAATCTGACGGTGGCATGGAAGACACGTGTCACCCTAGAACTCTCCTTTTTCTTTATTTTTCTACAGACATCCTTCGCGCATAAGCGTTGATGCCACGTCAGCCAAAGACGACGCATCACAGTAAAGCAAAACATGGAAAGAAAAAAATTACATAAATCATTTTCTCTTTTTTTTTTTTTGCTAATCATAAATCATTTTCTCCTTTTCTTGGTCATATTATATTTTTTCCTTGGTATTGTATTATATTATGTATTATATTTGTCGCGAGTATTCGAGTAACCGACCATATATATAAATACCAACTATAGTTCGTTTTAGACATAAAATGTCATGCAGCATTAGTTTATATATATATATATATATAAACAAATATTGAAATAAAGCAGTGTAATAATTAAGAATTTGGCAAAACCCAATTCGTTATTTAATATTGTAAAGGCACGAGGACAAATGTCGACGAGTTCCCATCTCCCTCCGTATCGTAACCAATGGCCCATCCAAATGTCAGTGCGTGAAGTTTTTTTTTTTAACGGGGGACCCTAGCGGTTATCCTTAGATAAACCTCTAGTCCGGGAGCAACCTTTGTATATGGATTATATAAACCTAGAAATTATCTTCCTCTCCACTAGTTAGGAATCGAACACTCAACCTTAAGGTGGAATTACCTCCTATCCCAAACTTGACCACTCGTCCACGATCTGTTGGGTCAGTACGTGAAGTTGTTGATTAGCCCATAGTTTTTTATTTTATTTTTCATATTGATCTTTTGACTTATACTAATATCTGGTTAAATTCAATATGACATGTTTATCGTGAAAAGATTGAACCTGTTTTGGTGTTTGGTAATATATGTTGAATTTTTTAAAGTATTTTAATAAAAAGATAGAGAAATATACATAGATATCATGTTTTGATAAAAAAGAATGTAATATAACAACAAAATCTAAAGATGTAACACATTCTGTTTTTTTTTTTTTTTGTCACAGTTTGGTATTTAATTTAATTTCTGAAATGCCATTATTGTTTGTCCCCGGAGAATAAAAACAAGTATACGCTCCCAAACATGGAGGAATCCAATGACTCCCTAAAGTGCATTTTTCCGATTTGTGTACAAAATATAATATTAGAATAAATATTTTTGTTAGAATGGCTACGGCTGATACAAATGATTATTATGATTGTTTGTAACAAACCATAGTTTAATTATTTTTATATTGATTTAAAATGTAGTTAATTTTATTTTAAAAAATCGCATTTAATTTATAATTAATTCTATAATTGAATTCGATTCATACGATTGTGTATTATTTGTTTTAATTAAGTTTATTTTTGTATATAGATATAATTTATATAGTAAATGCTATACACAGATGTAGGACATGGTAATTATTGTTTGTTTGACAGTTTTTATTATCTTACTGTTTCATATTATTTGTAACAATTTAGACACTAAAAACACTAATATTTTCATATAAACACATAAGTATATCATAGACTATATAAATAATAAAAGTACTATAAATCTACAATGCAATTAGATTATTTACATCTATAATGCAAACTCTTCGATTCATTACCAAAACAACTTAGTAAATAGCTAATACTATAAAGTCTATAATATAATATAAAAAATATATGATATGAACAGATCTTTTAACAAATAAAATACAAAGTTTAAAAATGGTAGAAAAATGCTTATTTATCATAAAAGCCTTACGAAACTAATTATAGTTTCTCCGGTTTTACAAATTTCCTCTTTTTTTTTTTTTCCTCACATCCTACCAAATAGAAAGCATTAATTGAAGTGTATGGAAAATGACATCCTCACACGTGTGGAATTCAAACAAGGGTAGAGTCACGCGTGAGAGGTGGGTCCTCTTTTTAAAAACCAGAGAGAGAAAGAGTAGTTGTCGCCACAGTAACGTGTCTGTCTACGGTATTTTCTTTTTGCATATTCATCAGATCCCTACCCAAAAGACGAAGCGTCAAAAAGAAACCCCGAGGAAAAGCAAAACGAAGGAGGAAGACGTCAGAGCCACCTCTCTCTCTCCCCACTCTGTTTTCTTTTCGCTGCACAAGCGCCTTCTCTCTTTCTCTCTAGAAGTTTCCCTGTGCTTGTCTTCTGCTTTTTGCCGGTCTTCGTTTTCTGGGGGCAAAAAGAGGAGGAAAAGGAAAGGATAGCAGAGGAAACAGGAAGCTCTCGATCTCCTACTAATGGGAACGGAGATTTTCTCAGCGTTGTAAATTCCAGATAGTTTCTGGGTTTTGTCTCGAAGATCTGAGGTATGTTGTTGTTGTTCTGTCTTCTGCAGATTTCTTCTCTTCACCTTGAGCGATGTTTAGTGGGTATTTGCCGTTATCTTACTTGTTAATGTCCTGAAATTGTTCTCTCCGATTCACATGTTATCCGCTTCTTTCCCGTTTCGTTTGTTCCTCTCTCTCTCTCTCGGTCTCTGCTTGGTTTCTCAGAAAATCGAGGAAATGAAAAGAAGAGATTGGGATATTAATTCTTTCGAAATCTAGTTCACTCAGCGTCTTTTGCGTTGCGTCGTTGTTTCTGGTTTGGTTTCCGAGAAAGTTCTCTTTTTTTTTTCGGGCATTGAAGTCGATGGGGGATTTTTTTTTCGTCTCACGATTTTGTGCCGTTAGGGTCAGCCTTGGAGAAAACTAACGAGGCTGCGTTCATCGAGAAAATGCGACGCCTTTGTCCGGGAATCTTTTGATTTAAACACTTCGTTTTCTCACCTACCAGACACTGGGTTTTTGTTTTATGTAATCTGGTAAGCTTTCAGGGCTCTGTTGTTTTCTTCCTGGCTGTATCCCTGCTGAGTCTGTTCATGCTTCTCTCAGATCTAGGGTTTTGAAGCAGACGAGGAGTAAGCCCAAATCTTCGTTCTGACCGTTCTGTAAGTTCAGTTTCCACGCTGCAAAATCTTTATGCTTAGTCTTTTGAGAATCGGTTTCCATTGTCGCTACCTGAAATGTGAATGTTTATGATTCTGTTTGTATTTCTTTGTCTGTAACATAAGAATGTTGAATCTCTGTAGGATCTTTATCAGTCTTTTTTGAGCTTACGAGATGCAGCGGCCGCCGCCGGAAGATTTCTCCCTGAAAGAGACCAAACCCCATCTCGGGGGAGGGAAGGTCACTGGGGACAAGCTGACAAGTACATATGACCTTGTCGAGCAAATGCAATATCTGTATGTCCGTGTCGTCAAGGCCAAGGAATTGCCCGGAAAGGACATGACCGGCAGTTGTGACCCTTATGTCGAAGTTAAGCTCGGAAACTACAAGGGTACTACTCGGCATTTCGAGAAGAAATCAAACCCCGAGTGGAACCAGGTCTTTGCTTTCTCAAAGGACAGGATCCAAGCCTCGTTTCTCGAAGTTACCGTGAAGGATAAGGATGTCGTGAAGGATGATTTCATCGGTCATGTTGTGTTTGACTTGAACGAGATCCCGAAGAGAGTCCCGCCCGACAGTCCATTGGCCCCTCAATGGTATAGGTTAGCGGACAGGAAGGGCGATAAAGTAAAGGGAGAGCTTATGCTGGCTGTCTGGTTCGGTACTCAGGCCGATGAGGCGTTCCCTGAAGCGTGGCACTCAGATGCCGCTACTGTCAGTGGAACCGATGCACTTGCCAACATCCGGTCTAAGGTTTATTTGTCTCCTAAGCTTTGGTACCTTAGGGTTAATGTCATCGAGGCTCAGGATTTGATACCGAGCGATAAAGGTCGGTACCCTGAAGTTTATGTCAAAACCATATTGGGAAACCAGGCGTTAAGGACGAGAATATCTCAAAGCAGGACGATTAATCCGATGTGGAACGAGGATTTGATGTTTGTGGCAGCTGAACCATTTGAGGAACCGTTAATACTCAGTGTGGAAGATAGGGTGGCTCCGAACAAGGATGAAGTTCTGGGGAAATGTGCGATCCCGTTGCAGTACGTGGATAGGCGGTTTGACCACAAACCCGTGAACAGCAAGTGGTATAACCTCGAGAAGCATGTTATGGTGGAAGGAGAGAAGAAAGAGACCAAATTCGCCAGCAGGATTCACATGAGGATCTGTCTGGAAGGCGGATATCATGTTCTCGATGAATCAACCCATTACAGCAGTGACCTCAGGCCAACTGCCAAACAGCTATGGAAGCCGAGCATCGGTGTGTTGGAATTGGGCATCTTGAATGCCACTGGTCTGATGCCTATGAAGACGAAAGATGGTCGGGGAACTACAGATGCTTATTGTGTGGCAAAGTATGGGCAAAAATGGGTTCGTACTCGGACGATCATAGATAGCTTTACACCTAGATGGAACGAGCAGTATACGTGGGAGGTCTTTGATCCGTGTACCGTTATTACAGTCGGTGTGTTTGATAACTGCCACTTGCATGGAGCTGACAAGGGAGGAGGAGCTAAAGATTCGAGGATCGGGAAGGTTAGGATCCGACTCTCGACTCTCGAGACTGATCGGGTCTACACCCACTCGTACCCTCTTCTGGTGCTTCATCCAAACGGGGTCAAGAAAATGGGCGAGATTCACTTGGCCGTGAGGTTTACTTGCTCATCGCTGCTGAACATGATGCACATGTATTCGCTCCCTCTCTTGCCGAAAATGCATTACCTCCATCCTCTCACTGTCAGCCAGCTCGATAACTTGAGGCACCAAGCCACCCAGATCGTCTCGTTGAGGTTGCACCGGGCTGAACCGCCGCTGAGGAAAGAAATCGTGGAATATATGCTCGATGTCGGTTCCCACATGTGGAGCATGAGGAGAAGCAAGGCTAACTTCTTCAGAATCATGGGTGTTCTGAGTGGTTTGATCGCTGTCGGAAAATGGTTTGATCAGATCTGCAACTGGAAGAATCCGATCACGACGGTCTTAATCCACATCCTGTTCCTGATACTGGTGCTCTATCCCGAGCTAATCTTGCCCACCATCTTCCTCTACCTCTTCTTTATCGGTGTCTGGTACTATCGGTGGAGACCGAGGCATCCTCCTCACATGGACACTCGTCTCTCCCATGCCGATTCTGCCCACCCAGATGAGCTCGACGAAGAATTCGACACCTTTCCGACATCCCGGCCCTCTGATATCGTCAGGATGAGGTACGACAGGCTCCGTAGCATCGCAGGGAGAATCCAGACAGTAGTGGGCGATCTCGCAACACAAGGGGAGAGGTTTCAGTCTCTACTTAGCTGGCGTGACCCGCGAGCCACTGCCCTTTTCGTCGTATTCTGCCTGATCGCGGCCGTCGTGTTGTACGTAACCCCGTTCCAGGTCGTGGCCCTCCTCACTGGCTTCTACGTCCTGAGACATCCGAGGTTCAGACACAAACTCCCGTCGGTTCCGCTCAACTTCTTCAGGAGATTACCAGCAAGGACCGATTGCATGCTCTGAGCAACCGAAAAAGCCGAATCAATCGCGAATGGTTAAGGTACGGATCTGTTTTGGGATCTTTCCAGTGATGATGTGTGTTAGGGACCTTAAACCCCTTCTCTCATGGAAGTAGCTAAGAGTTTCACCTTAGTGGGTTTCTTCCGCTCTTTCGTTGTTTTGTTTTTTGGGTCCAAGTAGTAGTGCATAGGCTCCGTTTTTTTTTTTACCCGACATCTTTTTCATGATTTTTTTTTTTAAATTTTGTGTCGCCGGCAGCTCTGTTTTTGTAATTTTGTCTGTTTGAATGGTAGAAACTGTTGAAACGAGTATCATATTGCAATCTTTTTTTTTTCCTTTCGTTTGCTGTATTCCGGTTCAATTTTGTTTTTTGTTTGGTTAACCTGAAGAGCAAAACCGGATTTGAGAAATTTTCGAGCCGGGTACAGTAGGATGTTGGTCGGTTCTCTTTATTGCGTTGTTTCCAGATAGAATCTTTGATATTATATGCTTTACGTCCACTCTTAATGGCGAAGTTAAATAAATAAAACGTGGGTGGCATTTGTTGTTCGGACGCTCGGCGGCGGCAGTAATGTCTGTTTCCGTGTCCCCCCTTGGCTTCAAAATTATTTATTAACTTCGGACATCATATTTTTGTGTACGTACGTATCATTCTAAATTCGTGGTAGAGGTTTGGCATCCACGTGATGTGCACGTGCGTTGCCCCCCGGACCCCAAAACCTCTACTACTACGTTTTAGAATTTAGATGATGCATTTGTTACGAGAAACGTTGAAGTGCCATCTGCTTAATGGGCCGACGAATATCAAACATTCACAACCGTAATTTGATCCATTCGACCAAAGAAGCATATTCATATCCTCACATGTTTTTACAAAGCACAAAAAAAAACAAAAAAACAAAAAAGACAAGAAACCTAAAGGTAGAAGCTACAAAATGAGATGTCCAAAGAATTAGAACAGAATGTGGTAAATGGTAATGTCAATGTGGTACCTTCTGTAATCATCGGGGAAAATGGTGATTCTCCTGAGATATCATCCAAGAAGATGATTGACCCTCCGAGCGATATGATATCATCAGAAAATGATAACCTCCAGCGGATGATCCATCTGCAAAAGCTCATGGGCATAATATATATATATATACACATATATACATACATCACCAGTGGATGATCCATCTCTACCCTTTTCTGAATTCATCAGACGATGAGTACTCGGTCGAGGAGTCGTCTCCCCTCTGAAGATCACAGCCTCTCTCTTTTTTCAAGAATGGAAAAAAAAATGGGTTCACCGCATTGACATTAGTGTCCGAACCCTTTTCTCGCGCTCTGCCCTCTTTGCAGTAGGAGTGCTATTTAGTTTCTGAATCTCTTCCATCACAACCTTCTCCACTTTGTCAATGGAGTTAAGCACCTTCTTCTCTGGTGTGAGGAACTCTGCTTCTCCACAATGCTCATTGGTGATTTCAAGAAGTATCTTGTGGACATTGTGGGCTGTGGAAGGAGTTGGGCAGCTACGTTTCAGTCCCATGGCTGGAGCAGGAGTGACCATAGAGCTGTTGTGCTCGAGCTGAGCACCTGACTGCGGTAATGGAGAATCGAGATCTCCTACTCGTTGAGGAGTTGGAGTCTCGAGTTCTCGGCCATCGACCCCTCTCATACTTGCTCTTCTCCTCTCAATAGCCTGATTCAATGATATGTAAACTCGAATGAATGGCCAGGCTAAGCAAGCCTTAGCAACATGTTGTGATTCACACGCAGAGGCTAAGAAAGCCGAAATCTTGAGAAACCCATGAAGAAATGTTTCAAAATGAAATGCATTTGGATTTTGCATCTAAATCTACAGAAAGAATAAATGAGACAGTTATTGTCGTCAGCAAGAGTAAGACACAAGCCGCAAATAAGATAACCTAATCGGGGTTTAATCAAATCAATGCTCAGGCCAGATTCAACCTATGGGCTAAAAACCCGGATTAACATCAGACCTAAACCGACTAATGTGAACCTATCTATCGATTTGAACTCAGAAAGATTTGGGGGCTTACCCTTACGATCGCTGTAATGTCACGGAGGGGCGTTCTTGGATACCAAGAAGGTAAAACACTGGTTGAAACGCGTCCCCTTCTGTGCCTGGCAGCCCCAACAGGGGTATTCTCCCTTCCATGTGGCAATCGAAAAGGGGTTAGACCTCTCCGATTTCCAAGCCGCCTGGCAAACCCTCCTCTACGAACCAAAGGTCTCGATCCAGTGGGCCTAAGTGCAGTACTCCCAGCAGTTCCAAATGGTGATCTCTGAACAGGAGATTCAGACATAACGAGCCGCGAAGCTGACTCGTTGAGTAAAATACCATTTTGACGTCTGCTGAGGAATGCTGCAGAAAAATCAACTGGTCTATCCAGACGATCCCTTGATTCTGCCATCGTGATCGGTTTCTAACCTGAACAGAGAAGCCGTTAGAACACACGAAAATCGGATTGTCAATCACTTACACTGACAATCCGCAAGAATATATAAGTCCATTTCCCGTTACTGAAACTGTGAACCTAGGGTTTTTGGTAGACACAGACTATATTTCCACCAATACCAGATCTGCTCATGAAAACAGACATCTTCTCAACCAGCGGAGACCAAGAACATTCGCCTCACGACAATCTCTCAAAACACCGACGAACTCCCCGTTACTGAACAAAATTGAAGAACAGACACTCGAACCACCAAGAACACACAAGAAAGGCCAAAACAAAAGCAAAATGCATCGTCGAACAACGACAATACAGTACCTTAGATCTTCAATAAGATTCCCAAAAAACCTTCGTGTCGTGAGAGCTCCAAAGCTCGTTGGCAATATATGAACACAGATGAGAGAGAGAGAGAGAGAGAGAGCTTTCTCTGAGAGAGACGATATGGCAATTTCTGAAATTTCATCTCAGGGCGGGTTTTATAAAATACTGCAAAACGAAAAAATTTCGAGCTTGGCACGTGCGACCTCCGTTTTCAACTTTCAAATTTCCTCAAAGAGGCGGGATAATACTTTCGGCTTCGTTAAAATTACCTTTTTACCCTTTCAGTGTGGGCCTCTAGATTTACTGGGCTTGGGCCAAATTTTATCCTGTAAATTTAGGCCCACTTGGGAAAGTTCTATTCCAGTGCATGATGGACCACTGAAGTTCCCGTAAGTCGAGCAACTTCACATCACAACAGACGTCCTTACCAAAGTCCACGAAAATTCCGTATAATCTGGTACCATCTCCACAGAACGATTCACGTTGGCATTGAACGATTCTTGGAAAACTTTGCGTTCGGACAAAACCTGAAACTCTCTGTTTCAGGGACTCGTACTCTCCCTTCACGGGCGTGAGAGAAAAATACTGGACAAAAACAGAGCATGAATCTGAGTGCAAGAACTGGAAACCAGCTGATGAACACAATGGCCGATGAAGAGAGATTACGATGGTGTCTTGTCTCTCGATGAGCAATACATTTCAACTCAGACGGAGAAAAGGACCATATGGCTTTCGATCTGTTACAGCATCTTGAAAAAAGGTTTTGATCCTTATGATGTTTACAACGAACCGTGAGACTAATGTGTACACTGAACCGTGACTATTAACCTTACCCACTTCGCGTATAAACTAAAACACGAAGCTTTGCTACATGGGCATTGAAAAAGTTCCAACCTTTACAGTCCTCGAGAGATCGAATTATGGCAATTTCCTCATACGAAAGCATTCAAGTCGTATGATCTTTTTATTCCCAAGAAAATATGTTGGAGAGGACCATTCTTCTAGCTTCTCTTGTGCTCTCTCTCGCCCTTATGTACAATATGTGGGGAAAGTTGCTTAGGCAGGTTCTTCCTATACGGCCTTCTCCTCCTTGTTAAAACATTTGCAATGAGCGCGGGTTTCGCTCAATATCTGCATTTGTTGAAGAAGAGTCTTGACCTATTGAATCAATGAAAAAAGTTTGAACCTTTTGTTTCTATTTTCAGAATGATTCGGAGGAGATCACCTTGAATTGTCTTTGGAGGTCTTTGATGTATTCCACAGCCAGATCCAACATGTCTGATGTGTTGGTTTGCTATACATTCATTAATACCAATACCATTAGTCCCCATTAACAATGGGTTGAGATTAGAAACACATGAGAAACATATACATATATATATATATATACACACCTTATCCATGTTAGGAACAAGCTCCTGCAATTTCCTCATACGTTCGCTTATCCGAGTTCTTCTCACCTGACAGATTATGAAAGACATTCATGGAGAAATGAGGCTCTTTCTTTAAAGGAAATCTTCTCAAAACATTGCCCTTTTAGGGCTGAAACTGTATAAGCTCACCCTTTCAGCGATGCTTCGAGGATGAGTTGCACATCCACGTTTGGCCCTTATCTTACAAGGGACAGAATCTTGGAACTGAAGGTACTTGTCCACCCTAACCATGTCCAACTCAGATCTTTTAGGCAGACTCAGGCTATGTGACAACAAATGCATTCGATCTCCAGTCTCGCCGTTCTGAACAGAGAACAAAAACATCGGCCACTGTCTCAGAATCGCCAGTCTGAAAATATACCACTAGTTCGGATTTCGTGTATTAGTACCTGAGCCCCGGAAAACAACTTCCCCTCATCATCATCAACTGATTCTCTTTTCATCGAGAAGTTCTCCATGAAGCTCGAAGGATCGTTCCAGTGGCCATATTGGAAATTCGCTGAGATAGTCTCGGTCCCGATTTCGGATATCTGAGAGAGCATTCTGGTTAAGGAAGGTGGACGCGACGCGAGGCTGCGATGGCGCTTCAATCCGTTTGGAGATTGACTCTGTTCTTCCTCGGCACCATAATTCAATAAACTCCTGAAGGAACCATAGCCTGCATCAGACAAGGCAACACACAAAACCGATTGGTTCTAATGCGTACAATGATCCAGAGTCTGACATAAACTACAGGAATCAAAGGTTTGTGCCAAAGTGTTGGCTTTGTAGTTATTGCGTCTGACCCAGTTTAAGCCTACTCATAAAGGCGAAAGCTTTCGTTTCAAATTTGTAAGAAGCGAGAAAACAAAGCTAAATCCTTGTCCAAAACTGGGAAATACCCAAAGAATTGGAATCAAGTCTTGATCAGATGAAGGAAAGGTTGCATCTTTCAGGTGTCTGAAACAAAAAACCATTTCCGTTGAAACTGGAGAAGAAAAAAGGTACCGTTTTGGATGGAGAGATTATTGAACATCCCGGCAGGAGAGCTGCTTTGTCGAACAAGATTGGATCCAACCGGTTTCGATTGATGATGGATCATACCCAGAAACTGATACGATCCATCCATAGCAACAGAGCTCGTAATCCCTTTGCTCTGCTGCCTCGGGTAGTGCGGCGGCAGAGCAGAATAGCTCGGCGGAGGGGCAGAGACGTACGCGACGGCGGCCTCCGCCGCAGAAACCGGAGACTTATCCTCAAACTCGCTCAGGTCCGGAGAACCCAAATCACCGTTTCCGCCATCAGAGCTGACGAATCTGGAGATTAACCTGTCGGAATCGGACCCACCTTTCTCGTCATCAGAGAAGGTGGCGAGAAGCGAGCTGGGGGCGGATCGAAACCGGAGAAGACCTGACCCAGTGTAGAGATGATTTGGATCGGAGACATGACGATGGGTACTGGAATCCATTGACGGAAAATGAAAAAGGGTGATGAATTTTATATTCCTCTATGGTTATATTGCTCTGTTTCTCCAAGGTGGGGAAGAAGAACACTGGATACAACGCATCTTAACAGTGAAGAACGTCAACAAGAAGAAGAGAGAATTTTCCCTTTCTTTCTTCTCAGAAATCGACGAACAACAATTTATCTTCTTCTTCTATTCCGTGTCAAAAGCTTTAATACCGAACCAGAGCCGACGGCGCAAACAGCTCAAAGGACAAAAATAAAAAGAAAAGCCGTCATTTTTTTAGCCGCCAACGAGATAATTTGACGAAAATACCCTTTCCATTTCAACTTGTTTTAGCGTTCATACATTTCACGAGTCACGGTCCAAAATAAGTCAAATCGGCATATGAATTCATTCGTAATAAATTAGGTGACATCTTCATCCAAGAGGGGTACGTATAAAGAAGCTCGGATGTTTTGTCTGAATTTAATCTCCGATATTCCATAAATTTTGAATATATATATATATATATATGTACACGTTTATGTATTTTTGTCATATTTATTTGCATGAATTATTTCGCGTTTACAAAATAACGTGAAAAGTTTGACAAATTGTTCGGATATATTAGACAGCATTTCCGTTTTCTAATAGGTTTTGGTACGTCTCATGTTTGTGCTTTCCCCCCTTTGTTAAATGTTAAAACTTCGGTAATCTTTTTCATTCGATGGTTTTTTTTATATTGATTTTATTAATTTTATTTCCAAATAATGTTGACTAAGTTAAAATTACAGAAATATTAAAACGAAATAACAATTGAAGAAAATAAATATGTAGACATTATTGTTTTTCAAATTTCATATCTGATACCTTTTTATTTTCATCGACAATTTATACTATAAACCTCTGATTTTAGTTATAATGATAATTGTTTTTTTAAAAAAAGAGTTACTCTCCATTTTCATATATTTTTTTTTTATTGATTGAAGCTCTCAACCGGAGGAAGAGATAACAAAGACGGTCTCTTAAACGGTAACGGCGAAACAATCTAGACGGCGTAATCACCTCGGCAATTGAACTTAGCGTCGGGGAAGACTAAGCTAAGGTGGATGCGTTGTACGGTACAACCGCAAGCGAGTATGTGAATGCTAAAATCTCATTGGTCGGCGTAGATACAATGACGTCACTGTGAGTCTCATCAACAGAGCACCAGATTCATGTCCGCATCAGGTTCGCTATCCGACGTCGTTTTCACACTTTAATTTTTCCCTTTATTTTTGATAGATCAAAAGCGCCGCCTTTTCTTTGCCAAATTTCCGATTAACTTTTTAAATACTAATATAATATATAGAGGAAAAAGCTAATAATAAAATGATTTATGATTAAATTATGATAGAACTCGTTTATATAAAATTCAGATGTAACCCGATTTCGAAATCTCTAAAATAATTTTAAAAAAAGGTAAAAAAACAATTATAGCATAAACGTAATTTTATGGAAATAATTAGTAAATAAAAAAATGTGGTACGTTGTTTTTTTGGGAAATAACTATTTTTATTTATAATATTTATATATACTAGAAAAGACCCGCGCGATACGCGGGATATTTTTTTTGATAGTTAATATAAAATGTTTATGTTTTGTTATGAAAAATATTGATATGAATATAGAAAAAATTATATTATTAAATCAATATATATATATATGAAAAAAGAAAAAGTAAAAAAGTTTAAATATCATTACATTATTATATTATAAATTTATTTTTATATTGAATAATTTTGTCAATGTAATTCTATACGTTGAATATATATTTTTTACGATAATATGCATGTGTAGTCAATGTAATTACACATTTTATGTTATATCTCTTTGCATCTTTTTCATTAACATATCTAGAAATAATAATTTATGGATTTGTTTAGTATAAAATTTTGATCATTTAGGTAATATAGATATTTTTTGCATCAATCGAATGTTATCATTTTATTATTTAACTTATATTTATTAATTGATATTACGAAGAGCATATATAGTTAATTATTAGTATGATTATTGGATAAAATGATATGTGTTAAAAATTATTGTTATTAATATAAATTATTTTTATTTTCATTATAAAAAATTATTGATATGAATATTAAAAATTTATATATATATATAAAATATAAAGTTAAACTATATTATTAAATTATTATATATATTAAAAAAGTAAAAAATAGAAGAATATAAATATCATCGTATTATTATATAATAATTTTTTTATCTATACCTTGAATAAATAAGTTTGACAATTATTTGTCTCGAATGACTTTATTCTCATGGTCATGTTGATTATTGGATAAAATGATATGTGTTAAAAATTATTGTTATTAATATAAATTATTTTTATTTTCATTATAAAAAATTATTGATATGAATATTAAAAATTTATATATATATATAAAATATAAAGTTAAACTATATTATTAAATTATTATATATATTAAAAAAGTAAAAAATAGAAGAATATAAATATCATCGTATTATTATATAATAATTTTTTTATCTATACCTTGAATAAATAAGTTTGACAATTATTTGTCTCGAATGACTTTATTCTCAATATTTTATATTTTTTTATGTGTAAAAAAATAAAGTTTTCATTATGTTGAGTTGTACATTCATATAAATTCTTGTAGATTATAATGTATAAAATGATGAAATACCTGAATCATAAAAATGTCAATTAATTTATATAATATTAATATTATTTATATATAATATATTAAGAATTTATGATTTTATATGATTTTTATAATTTCCATCCATAATTTTAAAATTTACATCAATAACGATTATAATATTAAATTTAACATTCAATTTGTCCATTTGTGAGCGAAATTCTATTGCAAAATCACCTTGAAAAGCTTTACAATATTATTCTTTTTTTATATAAAAAAATTTGTTAAAAATTAAATAAAAATTAAAATATTCAAATTATATACTTGAATATTACTTTAGATTACATTGATGAAAATAATATAACATGGCACATCATTAACTCATTTATAAATAGAAATAGAAATAATAATAATAAATTATGTATATCGAAAACTCTGTCCATTGGTCTTTGAATATTTTTTTATGCTTAAGATTCTAATTTAAACTAATATCATTTAGATTTGTCATAATTTTCTTGCCATTATACTTGTTTGTTTATATGTAATTGTGTTATAAATCAATAAATATCATATAAAATAACAATACAATTTATTAAAAAAAAATTTATGTTGAGTTGTGTATTCATATAAATTCTTATAGATTATGATGTATAAAATGATGAAATACCTGAATCAAAAAAATGTTAACTAATTTATACAATATTAATATTATTTATATATAATATATATTAAGAATTTTATGATTTTATATGATTTTTATAATTTCCATGAATCAAAAATTAAAATGTTCAAATTATATACTTGAATATTACTTTTGATTTATACATGTGATACAAATAATATAATATGACACATCACTAACTCATTTATAATTTATTATAATTTTATAAGTTTTAATAAAATTCTGTATAATTTTATTTACAAAAAATTATAGAATGTATATTTCTAACTTTTATTAAAAAAATATATTTTTATTCGTTATCTTTTAAAATAATAAGATAATATTCATATGGGGGATGTTAGTTTATTATAACATTTTTTCTAAATAACTAATAATCATTTAGAGTATATTTTATCATAAAATTTAAATTATTGTAATAATAAAAATAATATATTATAAATTTATTAAAAATTATTAATAATAAAAATAAATAGAAATAATAATAATAAGTTATGTATATTGAAAACTTTGTCCATTGGTCTTTGAATTTTTTTTATGTCTATGATTCTAATTTAAAATAGTATCATTTAGTTTTATCATAATATCATTTAATAATAAGTTATGTATATATTCATACATACATAGAAATATATTTTATATAAAAGAAGTTGAATATGAGTATTTTTATTAGTTTAAACTCATATATTTTCATGTTAAAGATTTTTCTATATACCACGTATTTTAAATAAATTTATTTTAATCAAATTAATAAATAAATCTATACATATAGAAATAACCATTTCAATCTCACATTTCATAAAATCTCAGGAAAGTTCATGTTATTCTTATTCATGTCCCCTGCAATAACACAACCAAAAAATTCAAATATTATCGATAGACCCAAAACTTAAATAATTTAGGATGCAAAAAAAATGATATTATATAGAGACATAAAATGATCCATCAAATTGAATTAATTAAAAAAAGAATAGATTATAATTGCTAATTATTTAATTTACTAAATTTGATATTAGTTGGATCTCTCTTTTATTTACCAGATTTGATTCTTCGACAATATTCTTCATTCATCTTATCCTGCAAAAAAAAAATGATAGAACATAATTAGGAAATGATGCATGGAAATAAAAAAAATAGTACAACGATTAAGAATACAAAAATAGGTTTCCAAACACTTGGCATTCAGTGAATCATTGTCTCCATTTCCATTATCTTCTCTTTCTTCTTCTTCTCCTAAATATTCATACAGGGTTTTTTTTTTCTTTCAAATCTCTTACTTCTTCTTCTTATCTGCACATAGAGACCAAACACAAGCTTTCAAAACTATTCACGTTAAATCAAATGATTGATTAAAACAAAATAAAAATGTCTACAGATTCCTATATTTATAACTAAAACCTAAATGGATATGGAATTTCCACGTTTATTATAAATATTGTCTCTAAATGTATAGGTATCATTCAATTCAAATGGATACTATTTTATGAAGAGTGGTCATAGTGGGTTAATAAATTCGTTGGCACGTTTTTTGTTTTAAATTCTTACTCCACTAATTGAAATTTAATGACCGTAATAAAAACAAAATAAATTTTTTATTTACCCAACCACAAACGTTTCTTTTTTTCAATGAGTGATCTTATAATCCAATGAGGTTTCAGTAAAATGACATGTAGATGTGACTTCATCAAATTGCTTTAAATTTCATTATTTATGTATAAGATTAAAAAAAATGAGTTTTTTAATTATAAAGATCCACTGATATTTTTAAAAATAGTTTTTGATATATAAAAATTAGAGATAACTTATTAAAAACCAAAATTATGCAACTAATCAACATCCAATAGAAATTATTAAAAATGCCACATGGATGATCTTTCCGCATAAAATTTTTTGACATTTTGACACCACAATAAACCACATATATATAAATAATTTCTATTTTGACATTTTGCTTCTGCATTTTTTGTGATCCTCCCACATAAACTTTGTTTTTATATTTTATTGATATTCTTTGTCATCCTTATAATCAATTATTTTTAAAACTATTTTTTATGTATAAAAATTAATGTTAATCTAATTGAATATTCATGTTTTAATGAAGTTTTGTATAAACCAATCAAAAATTAGAAAACATCCACCTAGGATGATGATGTGGCTTCACCACAACTCTTTAAACTTCTTTATTAATATATATAGATTTGATGGGGATTCTAGAAGTTTGAATAAGAAACTACTGTAGTCTTACGTGCCCAATCAGCAATCAAAGCTCTAGTGGCTGTCAGAGAAAGATTAGAGATATGATTGATTAATTAATTAATTAATTAATCAATAGGATCTAAGGGCTGTTTAAGTATCAATTGACATGAAGACAAGCTTGATTGTGCGGTCCACATCCACTTTCTCCTTCTTTCTACCGATATATCCACATATTATGCATATATTATATATATACACAATGCAAGATTATGAAAAATAATGCAATATAAATAATGTAACCCACTAAAAGTGAGGACCGTGCCTCTGTGGAGGGAGACATGGACACGTGAGAGCGCATTAGCTTAAATTTTATTATTCTTTTAATGTTAAAATATAAAAATAATTGAGATTCCCCTTTATAAAATAATTGTCTGAAAAATATTATTCTCCAATCCATCTCGGCAAAATAGAGGTTCTAATTTAAGAAAGTTTTTTTCTCCGTTTTGTCCATGGGGTGTAACTATTTTTAGAAAAGTTTTTTTTTTCTTTGAAGATTTATATTTCCTTTTTCTAATAAATACATTATTATAGTTTTAAAATTAAAGCACATATTCAGCCAGGTTATAAGAGGATAATCTCCCAGAAAATTTACCATAAATGCCCAAAAACATAAATCACGTATTCCTC